CTTAATGTAACTTTCATCCCTTCTCGGAACTCTTACGCTTTCATAAACGGCATCGAAATTGTTTCCGTGCCAAGCAGCCTCTACTTAAGAGGTTGGGAAACCCAACTTGTGACTGTAGACCATGGCCGTTCCTTCCCTTTCGATAATACCGTCACCTCCCTTGAGACTCTTCATCGACTGAATGTTGGCGGGAGGCAGATTGTGGACGTGGATGACACAGGAATGTACCGAACCTGGAGTCTAGATGCAGATTATCTCGTTGAGTCAAACTGGACTATTCCGATTTTGAACAAATCCCAACCGCTTCAATTTAAAAACGGAACACCAGCGTACACCGCACCCGAGGAAGTTTACACTACTTCTCGTATGATGGGCAATGATGCTTCGTTGAATTTGAGATCCAACATGACCTGGAAGTTCTCCGTTGATGCGGGGTTTCACTACCTCATCAGGCTTCATTTCTGTGAGCTTCTGGCGGAAGTCACAGGCCCGGATCAACATGTTTTCGACATATTCATTAACAATCAAACAGTGGAAACAAACATAGATGTGTTTTCTATGAGCGGCGGCATAGGATTTCCGATGTACAGAGACTATAGGGTTGACAACAGGACCCAAGGGAGGGACCTCTGGCTAGCACTACACCCTCAACCCGGAGGACTTGTTGATGCCTTCTTGAACGGTTTAGAGCTTTTCAAACTGAATCAATCCGATGGTAACCTAGCTGGACCCAATCCTGACTCGATTTCTAGTCCCGCACCTCCAGACTCGCAAGGCCCAAAGAGTAAGGTAACATCAATAATTTTGCCAATCATTGGAGCTATTCTCGGTGGTTTTGCTCTGGTTTCTCTCCTCGTGAGCTTTTTCGTTTTTCAAAGACAGAGAAAACTGAAAGACTCGCTCTCTTTCACATCAAAGTTCTTTACCACAAAATCCTCCTCCTCGTTACCGTCTGATATCTGTTGTCACTTCTCAATTGCCGAGGTCAAATCAGCCACTCAAGATTTCGACGATGCGCTTCTAATCGGAAGTGGAGGATTTGGAAACGTTTACAGAGGGATTATGAAAGGTGGGACCACCATTGCTGCAATCAAACGGTTAAACCCTTCATCAAGGCAAGGGGCCCACGAGTTCCACACCGAAATCACCATGCTTTCAAAGCTTCGACACAAGCATCTAGTTTCTCTGATTGGATACTGTGATGATCACGGTGAGATGATCCTAGTGTACGATTACATGGCACGTGGCACACTTCGTGATCATCTCGACAATACCAACAACCTGCCATTATCATGGAAACAACGACTAGAGG